TAATAAGAAATAAAAATATATTTATAAATAAATTTACTTGGATAATTCTATTCTAAACAATTATTGCAAAAATTCACAAAATTACTTTGTTTTAAAATGTTATCAGTAACTAAATCATTGTTTCTTTTTATAAAGTTTAAGATAATATTTCTAAATATTGATAGGTGTAGGTTACTTCCCCAAAAAGGCATTTTTATAATGTTAAAATCAAGTGAGTGTCTTTTATCAAAAATATTACTTAATAGCAAATTATTCTTAACTGATTGAAGGTCCAAAAAGTTAGCTGACTCATTATTATAATTAGTTTTTACTAATTTTAAATAGTGGGGATAATAGTTAAGGTTAGGAACAAAGTCTACTATATTATTAAACATAATTAAGTCATGTATGTATCTAAAAAAGTAACAAGATTCATAACTAATACTTTCATTTTCATAAAAATGCAAGTAGATATTTGCTGAGCAGTTGCTAGCTGGTCCCCCTTGTGGTAAACCTTTAATTTGCTGATAATAAGCGCTTTAATGGAAAATATAATTTTCTTTTAATACTAATTCAATAATAGAAATATATTTATCATATTTTAATATCCTAAGATATATATATATATATATATAATTAGTAAAATTTATAAATATTCAATTAAAGAAATTTCATAAAGTATAAAATTATATCAAAATTATCTGTAATATTAAATTACCACTAATACCGTTTATTATAGAAATACTGTTAATTATAGTGGATACTTTCGCATTACAATGCTAGGAATCCTTTTTGTGGATTTCAAATGTAACGCACCCAAATTAAATTAAAATTTTTAATACTTTACATGTGTTAACTTGATGAGTTATCTTCCTACGGTTTCTTGAGGGATATTTTTTTTAAGAAAGAAGATGAGTGTGAGTTAGCATTATTTAAATGTGATTTCTGAAATGTTAAAATCAGTTTAGAAATCTTGTATAATACTAATATTCCGCTAAATAGGTTGAGTGATTAACATCGCATTTTGAAACAACACGAGGCATATTTTTATGTGGAGATCATAATTGTGGGCCTGCCGACTGAGATGGCATTGTAATCTCCAAAATTCTACGCAACGCTAAATGAAAATTGCCGCATTTATGATTGGTCAGCTCGTGCACTTGGTGGGTCTTCTAATGTCCTTTCGAAATACATTGCACTTTTTAAAACGGGCTACAGATATTTACAGAGCATGTGGCTGCATAAGACTCCACTCACTTCAGAAATAAGTATCTAAATTGTAATTCATCATAAATACACTGTTTTTTACTAAAAAAGGGCTCTGTGGGAAACTGGAATATACAAAGTGTCTTATCTTATTCTGGAGAGTCCACAGTTACACCATGACTCGAATTCATGACTGAACAAAAGCAATGTCGGGATATACAAACAGAAGATACTACTTTAAAAATTATTAAAATAGAAATAAAAGTTATTGAATGCCTGGTATTTAATTATTAATATATTTTCAATTGAATATATTGAAAGTATTAAGATCTATGGGGAGTAAAAATCTCAATAGAATTTATTTTGACAACGATTTTCATATTACTGAAATTAGCTTGAGATATTATACTAAAGATTTTTTTTGTATAACTCTGATATATAATATATATTTATTAAAATAGTTTAAATAATTAAATAAATATTTTTTTTTACTTTTTAAAACATTTCATGATTTAATTATTGTTTCAAATCCTACTATTAACTCACACTCTCTATTTATTTATTTATTTAACTATTCATTTATTTATTTATTTATCTTGGTGGAATTTTCAATCGTTAATAAAATATATTTTAAAGCCCTCGATTGAGGGGAAATTTTAAATGTATAATCATTTTGGATGACAATACAATAGTTTAATTATAATTAATAAAATTAATTGATTAGAACTAATTATTTAAAGAATTACAAATACAGCCACATTTGGCGACTTGTATCAAACTTCAAAAGGTTTTTTTTTTTGTCACGTTTTAATGCATTTAGTTGAATTGAAATTTTATATACACGATTGTTTTGGATGACAAACGATAACTTAGTTATAAGTTATAAAAATTAATTACCACTTAATGTTGTGATTCTGTCATATGTGTATGCATATTTATATTAATTGTAACTATTTAATAAAAAGTAGCTAAAGAAAATTTGTCTTTGATCTAAGTAGGAATTGACTTAAAAATGATTTTTAACTTTTTTTTATATTACTTGTTAGCACTTTTTTTGTTTTAAATACTTCAAAAAAACATTTACTTGTACTTTGTTTTATTTAAACTACTTATAATTACTATAAAATATCTTTTTAAGAATCAATCAGATGTAATTTATTTCAGTTTTAAATCTTAAGTGCATAATATTTAGATAGCTGTTTTATAAATATACGGGGAAAAAAGTATTTTTTCCCATCTAACAGATTTTTTGAAATCGTGAATGCAATGCTAATTCTATAAATCTAGACGAATGCGTCTATTTAAAATCAACACAGTGTATTCAAAAAGGTAAAAATCACAAATAGTTTGTCTGGACGTATATTTAATCTTTGTTTTTAGAAAAGTACATGTTAGTTTTAATTATTTACTTATGAGTTCTCTGAATCTTAACAATTTCTTATTGATGCTTCAATCTGTGTTTTCAGGATGAAAATATAAATGCCATTGGAATTTATAATGCGTTCCTGTGTGTGAATGCGATATAAAAACCTTAACCTAAATTACAACATATTTTTAAGATGTCGTCATGCGAAGTTTAAAAAAAGAGTAATTCACTAGAAATTAAGAAGACATGAATTAAATGAGTTCAATTTCTTCAAATTACTTTCATAAGTAATACAAGTTTTAATATAACAATTATTTTTTTTATTTCTGAGATCAGAAATTTGTAGAAAACACTGTTAAGTTAGTTTTCTATAAAATAAACTCATGAATAATTCTATCTTCCTATAAAAATTCGTTTTCCAATGATATAACTTCTCCATATTTGAAACATAATTTGTGTGTTTCTGATAGTAACAAAATCCCAATACCTGTTACCCTGAATTATTATAAAAGCAAGAACTATCTCATTAAGTGGAATCCATTATCTACTACAGCAAGATAAAATAAAGTTGAAAAAATAAACGTCTTTCTCTAATTACGTTTTTAATTATTCAGTTAAAGAAAGAGATCTTAGAGTGGAAAAAGCTGTCCACAATAAAACTGTTCTGATTTATTAAAATTATTAGAAAGAAGCTCTTAATTATTCAATTAATGAAAAGCCACGAATTACTTAGTGGGAAATTCTTTTCGAAATCAAATTATTTTTATATAAAGAGATAATTAGGAGAGTTGATAGTGAGTTTGTTGAAAGAAATAATGTTTACTGAAAATAACTTTAAAAAAATCGCTTTGTGTGAACCAAATTAATTTTACTTTTACTACATTGTTGATTATCCAGATTGCAACATGAAGAAATACAAGAAATATCGAAACAATATTTATTACAGAAATAACACAAATTACGAAAGTGAAATAATTGAAAATATATTTGAAAAACTAGATTTATATGAGGTGAAAAACTACATGAGATCATATTAAGTGTTTCTGTCACGAATTGCAATAATATCTGCAACATGCTTCGGTATGCGATGAAAGAGGCTTCAGATTTTTCATAGGTATGAGAGTCCACACATGTTGCCATCATACATTGTTAAATTTGACCTGGTATAGAAAGGAGTTTTGGTGCTAGGCCAATTGTCTCCAGTTATAGATTATATGTGTTCGTTAAGCATATAGATCAGAGGAAGGAAATATTGAGGCAGCAATGCAATCTGATATGCAAAGAAAACTTGTGACGGGGCCTTATCGCGATTCCCACTAATTGTCCTCTTGGGATTCTTTGGGGCCAGAATGGCAATTCTTTTCAACCAACTCAAGAAGAGAACGTG